GGTCTTAGTGAATAGCAAAAGCCTCTTGTAACCGCTGTTCAAAAAACTGAAGTTCACTCACAGCTAATGAAGTCAATTGTCAGGGGCTATCCAAGGCAGGGTCTCCCTCTAAGGTTTTGAACAAATTGGCAAGTTTATAATCAGGAATCCACAATGAAAGACAAAGCCAATTGATATCACCCAACAATTTCTAGTAATCATTCAAGGTGTGTAAATGATTTTGTTTTATAGAAGTTTTGGGGGGACGTACAATGGTCCTGTCAACTACGTGACCTAAATACATCACAGAGTCAGTAGTTTGAACTTTCTCAGGGGCTGTTATTAACCCGTGAGTCTGTAGTTGCTGCTGCAAATGAAAATAGCACTGAGATGTTTCCTGTGATGAAGAAGCAGCAATAAGAATATCATCCATATAATGATTAATATATGCTGAGGGATACTTTTGTCTAGTTGGGGCAATTACCTGTCCTACAAAATACTGACACATAGTGGGGGAATTAGTCATCCCTTGAGGCAAAATCTTCCACTGATATCTTGAGTGAGGTTCCTTTTGGTTAAGAGAGGGAACAGAAAATGCAAACTGCTTCTTATTTAAAGGATGAACAGGTATAGGACAAAAACAATCCTTTAAATCTAAAACAAGTGGCCAGTCTTTAGGAATGGCTGTGGGGGTAAGAAGACCAGGCTGTAACACTCCCATTGTTACCATAGCCAAGTTTACAGCTCTTAGATCTATTAGTAGGTGCCATCTACCAGATTTCTTCTTTACAACAAAGACCGGGGAATTCCAGGGAGAAAAAGAAGGTTCTATATGTCTTGCTATAATTGCTCCTGTACCAAACACTGTAATATTCCCAGTTTTTCTTTTGTTAAGGGCCACTGAGCTGTCTAAATTGGTTCCTCAGATTTCCACTGAATTTGGATGGGGGATATAGGCTCAGCAGCCCCAGGGAAAAACCTAGTCCAGTTCTCCCAATGTTGGGTTGGGGATCTATAGGTTTTGCTATGCCCTGTTCATTCTTCCCCAGCCCTTTCCCTTCAACATACCCCGTATGGTGCATCATATGAGATGCCTGCTTAGAATAAAGGTTCTCAGATGAGGAGGGAATAGTCATTTTGAGCTTGAGTCTGATGTAAAAAAATCTCTCCCCCCAAAATCAGGAATCCACAATGAAAGACAAAGCCAATTGGTATCACCCAACAATTTCTAGTAATCATTCAAGGTGTGTAAATGATTCTATTTTATAGAAGTTTTGGGGGGACGTACAATGGTCCTGTCAATACGTGACCTAAATACAGGACAGCAGAGATTCCCCCAGGCCTCCCACAAAACAGCTCTGTGAACTCTTTCACTTGTGGAGGGTCTTTAGTTCCTGATAAAGCAGCATTGACTTCTACTATAGGCTACTCAGGGGGCCAAACATCAGAGGAAATAATGGAAACATCAGCACCAGAGTCTAGCATACCAGAAAACACCTTCCCTTTAATCTTAAGATCCATCATAGGTTTGTCTGACTCAGAAAGAACATGAGTTAAGGCAATGACAATATCAGTGCTGCCAAAACCTCCTGTGTGCTCTTTAGCCTCTGCCTGTGGTTTTATGTAAGGCAGCAAGAGCAATTGAGCTATACGTTCTCCCTTTTTGATGGGCCATTCTACAGGCATGGATATCATGAGAGCTATCTCTCCCTTATAATCTGCATCTATTATGCCTGTGTGAATCTCTACTCCCTCCATAGATAAACTGCTCCTTCCCAACAGCAGCCTACAGTATCAGCAAGAATAGGACCCCAATAGCCAATAGGTAACTTAACATGTGGATAGTCAAGTCTGAGGGGGCAGGGATGTGTATAGCAGCACTTCCTCTAGTTTTAGCTTTTAATTCCATAATATTAGGATAGGACTGGCCCTGTACTTCTAAGGGGCCAAAGGCAGGCCCTGCAGTCTGTTTCCCTGGCTGGAGGTGGTACATTGTCTTGGTTGCTTTCTAATAGGATTTCCTTCTTTATCAAGTCTGGAATAACATTCACTAGGTCAATGATATCCTCTTTTACATTTAGGGCAAATCCCAGGGGGTTTTGACTTTGTGGCAAGGTGGGCAGGCTAACTGAAGCAGGCTGCTTACACTGCCTTTGTATATGACCATTTTTTCCACAATTAAAACATTTCACAGAAGATTGTTTTTGTGCCTCTACTGCTGCTATGGCCACTACTCTGGCTTTATGAGTATGGGTCCCAATATTACTACACTGCTTCATGTAATCTGTCACTCCTCTTGTCTCCATTATCTGTTTAAGAGCTGTCTGACAGTCTTCATTAGCATTATCAAACACAAGCTGCTTCTGGGGACATGCTTTCTTTTCTATGGAATCTCTCAGATGGCTTATAAAATTTGAATAAAGCTCAGTGGCTCCTTAAAGAACTCTAGTATAATATCCTACATACTCGGACCCAGAATCGATCTTTTCCCAAGCGTCCAGTGCTGCTTGGGGAATAGCCAATTATTGCTGAACAGTTTTAAAAAGCCCTGAACCTATAACTATGTCAAAACTATGAGGATTACCCAGTGAAGCCTTCCCAGGCACTTCCTCATGAGCAGCATCTGCAAGCCACATTTGCCATTGAAGATTTTAAGATTTCAACAAACCATTTTAACCACTAGGTGAAAATCATAAGGGATCTAATGGGCATTATCATATGGAGAGGTGGGACCATAAGACACACAAGCCTTTTTGAAAGCAGACACCACGTCCCAATCCAGCATGATGTATTCCAGGATGGGGGCGGGGGGGGGGAGGTTGTCATTCATAATTAACTGGAAAGAAAAGATGCAGTTCATGAGCGTGTCCATGGGAAACATCCACCCTTAACGGCCTGTCCCCAGCATAGACTGGAGAAGTGGGGGCTCTCTAGCTCTGGGGTCAGCCTCTAAAGGCCATCTAGAAGTGCTCTGGTCTAAGCCACAGTCTCTGTCAAAAGGTAAAGGAGGTGCAGAGTGTATAGGGCAAGGAGGACATTCTAATTCACCCTCATCCTCATCAGGAAGAGGAGGATAAAGCTTCTCTGCCAGAGGGGCTGATGGAAAAGAAGCAGATGGCGTCAGGGGCTTCTCAGCCTGTTCTGACACCCCAGCCTGATGGAGAGCAGTCTTAAATTTTGTTATTCGCACAGAAAAGACTCCATTATGCAGCAGTTTTGCTTTTGTCAAAGTTTCTTCATCTAATTCATATTTATGCAAAGAATGATCACTTGTTCCTGATCAATAGTTTCCTTCTATTCTATTACTTCTATGATGGCATGAATGAGAGCCCACGTCACCCAAAACTGAGGGTTGATGTGCTCTCCTTGCCTATGAGCTCCTTTGTTGGGAACCAAAAGGGAGTCTCTCAACTTGATAGGCTTGACTATCTCACTGGAACATCTTGAGGCTGAGTTTACAGAATCCGACCTTTTCATCCCACCCTAAGTAAACACCCTGCAGCTACTAAAGACCACCTTTTCACCTTGCCCTAAGCAAACATCCTACAGCTGCTTCGGCCAATGAAAAAGCTTCCTTAACAACCAATGAAAAAGCTTCCTTATTCCAAGCATCTAAATACCCCTGTGTGAAAAATAAAACTTGGCAACTTGATCAGAATCCCTGTCTTGCTGTCTCTTGTCCCTTCATTCCTTCTCGCTTAGGTTCATTGCCCTCGTTGAAGTCCTGTGGGTCGAGACAACTGGCGCCCAACGTGGGGCTTGAACTCTGAGCCTGGGCACTGTCCTTCAGCTTTTCAGCTCAAGGCTAGTGCTCTACCGCTTGAGCCATACCCAATATGGCCTGACTGCCCCTTATACGTTAGCCTTGTTAGAAAACCAAAGTGCGCGCTGGCTCACCCCTAATGATTGGAAGTTTCTGGCCCGCGCCACCCTTAGTGGGAGTGATTTTGTTTTATGGAATGCGGACTTTAAAGAACGATGTAGAGAGACCGCGCAAAAAAATTTGACTAAAACATCTTCAAAAACCTGGACCTATACTAAACTTTTGGGTAATGCGCCCTTTGATACCAATGCTAAACAGGTGCACTTTCCTACGGGACTTTTGGCACAAATTCAAAATGCTGGCCTTTATGCTTGGAAGCGTCTCCCTCAAAAGGGATCGGCTACTACTTCCCTGGCAAAAGTTAGACAGGGGCCAGATGAACCCTACAGTGACTTTGTCTCCCGGCTTAACTTGGCTGCAGAAAGGCTTCTTGGGCCGAGTGAAAGTGAAAGTGCCTTTGTTAAACATCTTGCCTTTGAAAATGCTAATCTGGCATGTCAAGATGTCCTCCGGCCACATAAAAACAAGGGTGACCTCTCTGAGTTCGTCAGGCTGGAGTAGGAACCGCTCTCGTAATGGGGCTCGCCATAGGTGCTGCTTTTACCAAGGCATTTCAAGGTTCAGTCCCTGGCTCGCATACTTGCTTTAATTGTAAACAACCTGGTCACTTTGTGCGTGAATGTCCCTTCGGCAAACAAAGCCAAGGGGCAGTGCCCTCCAAAGCTACAGGTAGACCATTCCCTGCCACGCTTTGTCCCAAATGTGGTAAGCGCCGTCATTGGGCCAACGAATGTAGATCCAAAACAAATGCCCTTGGACAGCCCATTCGCTCTCATTTTTCAGGAAACTTCCCTCTGGGCCAGCCCCTGGCCCCGACTATCCCCAAGACAAGCCTAGGGGCGATAGGGTTTGTCCCCTCCCAAACTCTGGGTTCTACACAAGCCCCCCCACCTCTCTCCACGATTGCCTCCCTCCAGCGGGCAACCCCAGGCAGTGCAGGACTGGACCTCTGTGCCGCCACCGACACAGTACTAGACTCTATACAAGGACCTCAAATAATATCCACTGGGACCCTGGGACCCCCTCCGTCTCATATGTGTGCCCTTATTCTTGGAAGAGCTCTGCTACCTTACAAGGTGTCCAAGTTTTTCCTGGTATTATTGATAATGATTATACAGGAGAAATAAAAATTTTGGCCATGGCCATTAATGGAATTACAGTTATTCCAGCTGGAACTAGGCTTGCACAATTGGTACTGCTCCCATTAAATTCAGGGGGTTCTTCCACTGCTCAGACCACACCGCGAGGAACTGCTTCTTTGGGGTCTTCTGATGAGTATTGGGTTCAGCCTGTCACTCAAAAAAGACCCACCCTCACCCTGCGAATTGAAGGAAAGGAGTTTCAGGGAATTTTGGATACTGATGCAGATGCCACAGTTATTTCCCAAAAATATTGGCCACCAAGTTGGCCCCTTACCTCGTCCCTAACTGACCTTAAAGGCATAGGGCAGTCAAAAAACCCTTTGGTCAGCTCCAGTGTTCTTAATTGGACTGACAAAGAGGGCAATAGGGGAACTGTTACTCCTTTTGTTGTTCCTGACCTCCCTGTTAACCTATGGGGCCGGGATATCTTGACCCAGATGAAGGTTATCCTTGCTAGTCCCAATTCTGTGGTTACACATCAAATGCTCCGTATGGATTTTGTCCCTGGTATGGGTCTTGGAAAATCAGGACAAGGAACCATTGAGCCCATCCAAGCTACCCAAAAAACAGACAAACATGGGCTTGGGTATTCGGATTTTCAGTATCGGCCCCCAGGTGGCAGCCAGAACACTTGATAAAACAGGTGAATGGCTTACCACAACCCAGGGGAAACCTTCCCCCCCGAGGATGATGCCTTTTCTCTTACAGATGCAGCTAGAACTCCAGACGTGGACCTTCCTGTTTGAATTTATTAAATAGCAGATTAATCTCTTGACTTCTAAGCCCATACAGGTTCATCACCATCGCCTTGATATGGCAGACCGCGGCATTGAGATCTAGGATTTACCCCAGGCTTTTAATTAGTGTTTTGCCATGATCTTGTTCCAGTGGGAACCCCCCCTTCCTTTTTGTTATTTAGAAAACCCTTCTCCTTATTCATAACCCCTGACCATTCAACGAGCAAGACTTATTGCGCCCTTGCCATAAAGGATAGGTTCGCCCCTCCTCCTATAGGCCCCTCCGCTTGGGGGAGGATGCACCTATGGGAGGAAGAAAAAATGCTCAAATTAAGGGTGCAGGTAAGACTGCAGGGGGATGGATCCACGAGATCCCAAAACCCAAGACTCCTGAGTGGCAAGCTCTGGTGCATGACGGTTGGCATGCATACCCACAAGCCGTCTCCTCAAAAAACATGCCAAGGCCTGTAAAATTCCCCTCCCCGAGTGAGGACGCTCGCTCGGGAGCGGAGAAAAACCCTGGGCCCTTAGAGGAACAGAGCCTCTGTCACCCCCTTAAAAAGAGCAGCCAACAATTGATCATCAATTTTCTAAATAAGAAAGAGGGAGATGTTGGGAGCCAAAAGTTGAGGTTCTCAACATAATAGGCTTGACTATCTCACTGGAACATCTTGAGGCTGAGTTTACAGAATCCGACCCTCATCCTGCCCTAAGCAAACATCCTGCAACTGCTAATGACCACCCTTTCCTCCTGCCCTAAGTAAACATCCTGCACTGCTATGGCCAATGAAAAAGCTTCCTTATCGGCCAATGAAAAAAGTTTCCTTATTCCATGCATATAAATATCCCTGTGTGAAAAATAAAAATTTGCAGCTTGATCAGAACCCTTGTCTTGCTGTCATTCTTCGTGTCTCTTGTCCCTTCATTTCTTCTAGCTTAGGTTCACTGCCCTTGCTGACGTCCTGCGGGTCGGGACAGAATCCTTATTGCCTGAATGATGTTGTTTTTCCTCTGTTGGGATTATTCATAATTTCATAGATACCCTTGGGGTGAAGATTCTTAAGACTGTGTTTTGAGGCCTTTCAAAAAATTAGTTTCTCAGATCTCATCTTAATATAAAGTGACACAATGTAGAACTGCATATAGAAACATTAGCTTTATGTTATCCTGGGAAAATTAGTTGGACAAAACAAGAATAGCAAATAGTACTGGATGCTTGATTTTATTCTATTTTTGTATATATTTTTTATTGTAAAAATACTGTACAGAGGAGTTACAGTTACATGAGTAAGATAATGAGTAAATTTCCTATGAAGCATTGTTTCCTCCTCCTTTGTTTTTCCCCTACCATCCCTTCCTTCCCAACCTCCCCAACTCCTCCCTCCTCCCCCACTCTGCAGATTCCTGATTTTAGTCATAGAGTGTCTACATCTGAGTTCCTTTGTTGTTATTGTCCAAATGAAAAGGTATCAAGAAGAAGCAACAATATTTTCTATTGCTGGAATTCTTTTTAAATATTATTTTACTGTAAAGATTCTGTGCAGAAGGTTTACAGTTATATGACTAAGGTAATAAGAAGGTTTCTGGTTGAGCATCGTTACCCCTCCTTTGTTTTTCACCTACTCTGCTGAAACAAGGACACCTTCGGGGGGGGGGGGAGTGGGGGAGGGAAGGGATATTGCTGGAATTCTTTTCCCTGCTTTCTGATTCCTTTAGACATAATCAAGAGACTTTCTTTGGTTTTCTTCTGGTTTGTTTTGCTTTCTGGTGTTGAGTTTCAAGAGCATAAGCTCTTCACCTTCCATTGTAAGATATACAGGACATAAAATGAAATGGTATTCTAGCTACCCAGGTGACTGAGAACTGAAGAATTGAGGTTCATAGACAGCCCAGGAATAATAGTCTGTGAAACCTCCATCTCCCATAGCCATTAAAAAAGGTAGGCTGACCAAGGCAACAGTGTTTCCTGGATTTAATCATAATTACTCAAGACACCGATAGGTTCAAACCCAGAGTAGCCTTGAATGTCCTTGAGACTCTTATTTCCAGCTAACCAAAATTAGGATGAAGTGGCCTGATGTTGAACAGAAGATTTCAGCAACAGCTCACAGGCCCTGCATTCAAGCTCTAGTTCACACACACACACACACACACACACACACACACACACACACACACACACACACATACACACATCACATATACACACGGAGACATTAATGCTACATAATATCCTGGGCATGTGTGGGAAATATTTATAATTTTTTCAACACTTGGTTGGTTTTTCTTTTCTTCTCATGGACCTCTTGAAGTTTGTAATTTATTATTTTTCTTGAAACTGCTGAAGTAATTTCAAACCATATGACTTTCACAATTATACTATTCATTATGTTGATATTTTTAGGTGGCATTGGGATTTAAGTAAGGTCCTTGCATTTCTATGTTGGTGTTTAACTACTTAAGCCATACCCCTAAACATTTTCCTTAGTTTTCATATTGGATTTCGTAGTTTTGCCAAGGGCTGCATGGATTGCAATCCACCTATTGATGGCCTACCTTGTAGCTGGCCTGTGTATCACTATACCCAGCACTGGTCATTAAGATGTAGCTTTGATAATTTTTTTTTGTCTTTCCTTGCTTCAAACATTAATTAATCAAAGATTTGCCTCCTGGGTACCTAGGATCACAAGCCTGAGCTTTTTATTTTTGTTTTTGTGCCAGCATCTGGGCTTGAACTGAGGGTCTGGCCATTGTCTTAGAGATTTTTTTTTTTAATTGTGAGAATACCATACAGAGGAGTTACAATTACATGGGCAAGATAACGAGTACATTTCTTATCAAGCATTGTTGCCTCCTCTTTGTTTCCCCTTCCCATCCCTTCCCATACTCCCCCTACCTCCCCCTACCCGATCTCCCCCCACCAAAGTTGTAAAGTTCATTCTTCGACATAACGACTTGTACATCTCATTGTTGCAATGGGTCCACCCTAGTTAAACGGTTTGCTTTTGCCCTTCCCTTCCACAAATTATACCAACATTAAATACAGTGAAAGCAGGGGTTATACCGTGGGGGAGCAACATACAAAGCAACATAGAAATCATCTTATAAATATGTTAGAAACAATTGCATTAAAGAAAAAAAAACATATGAATACTTAGAGATTTTACTCAAGGCTAGGGCTCTGCCACTTTGAGCCACAATTCTGTTTCTAGTTTTTTTGTAGTTAATTGGAGATAAGAGTCTAATAGTCTTACCTGCTGAGGCTGTATTTGAACTGTGATCATTAGATCTAAGCCTCTTGAGCAGTCGGTATTATAGAAATGAGGCAAAACAATGTCCCTAACTCCAAACCTCACCAATGTTATAGAAAAAATATTTTCCAATTGGTCATCAGTGGCTCATGCCCATCATCCTACCTACTCCAGAGACTGAGATCTAAGGATTGACATTCAATGCTACCCTGGAGAGAAATTCCATGAGGCTCTTATTTCGAACTACCAAAAGCCTGGAAATAGCATTATGGATCAATATAGTAGAGCACTATCCTTGAGCACAAATGTTCAGAAGCAGTGCCCTGGCTCTGATTTCAATCAGTCCTCAGGACCAGCACACACACATGCACGTGTGCAGGCACACACACACGCGCGCGCGCACGCGTGCGCACACACACACACACACACACACAGAAGACATGTTCAGGTATCAGATTTCAACTATTTATTTGCTTATTTCCTCTCCTAACTCAGGAAGGTTCTATCTGCAACTGCAAAACATAATGTATCTTCCTTAATACTTTACTAGATGACCTATTTTGTCCCTTGAAGATAGGCAGATGTATGGAGTCAGAAACCAAGGAATATCATTAAATATTGATCTGGAGTAGACCTCAGGGAAACAAATAGAATAAGAAAGGTATAGACATGTATGTGGCGTGGGGGTGCTCTCTAGGCAGAAGCCTTTGTGTTTGACACCTATTTAAGAGGCTTTGTAATCTAAAGAGATTATAAGCATTATATGGGAAATAAAGAGACTTGCTTACCTGATATCCATTCTTCCTATGTTTTCTATTAGAGCCTCAATTTTTTAACATGCCCAGTAAACTGACTGACCACCTAGCCTCCCCTGAAATAAGGATATCAATTTAACTCAGCTCTGGCAAATAAGGTGTAAGTGAGAATCTCCTGATGTTGGCATCTAAGAGAGTTACTATTTCTGGTTGAAATTGGCAGGCATTTCACTATTTATCAGCTTCACAATTAGTAGTAGGTGGAGAGATTTCTTAGCAGCATGAAGAAAACACATGTTTAAGAGAGCAGAACAGGAAGATAGGAGAACTCTTGCAATTTCAAGACACTGCAGTGATTGCATTGTAGAGTGCTCATATTCTGGCCTCAGGTGAAGGTTTTCTACTCCCTTCCACCTTTCTCCTGCTCAAGCTCTGTGTTCAGTGTCCCTGGGTCCCTTTCAACAGGTTTATATTTGCATTCATCCAACCACTGTTTTCCTCAGACAGTATTTGTTTGCCTAAAGTTAGCAGGAGGTGGGGAGAGAACTTCTGCTATAGGTCCACAGAATGTTTGTGCCCTTTTAGAAAATTGTGAAATGAAAATCAATCTTCTGAGAAGAGTTGTAAAGGCTCACATCTGTCACCCTACCTACTCAATGGGCTGAGATTTGAAAGACTGTGATTCGAATCTAGCCAGGTGAAAAAGTCCACGAGAGTCTACCTCTGGTTAACAAGCAAAATGTCAGGCTACAGTTGTGGCTCAAGTGGTAGAACTGTAGCTGAACAAGGATGCTGTGTGAGAGCCACAGGATCTGAGAGTCAAAACCCTGGTTTTGGCACACACACACACACACACACACACACACACACACACACACACATGCCTGCACAT